ATTACTAGTTTTAAAAAAAATGATTTATTATTTCTTAAGATACTTAAATCAGAAATTTAGCCAGAGCCCAGCTACAAGGTTCTTTTGTTTCCTATAATGTTTGCTGGGTTCACTCATTCAGCTATATTCAGCTGGTAGTTGGGTTTTCTAGAAGGTCCAACAAAGCTTCCCTCACAGGTCTGGCAGTTTAGTGCTCCTTTGCATGGACTGTCTCTCTCCACTTCTCTCACCATTTAGGACTATTGCCTGAGCTACTACTCTACAACATGGTGACTGACTTCTCCAAGAGTACGTGAAAGCAGAAGCAGCAGCCATCTTAAAATAAGTCCCAAGGACAACCCAGATTCCCAGGGAGAAGAAATAGATTATACCTCTTGATGGGAGGAGAGGCTTGCATATGCAAAGGAGAGGAATTAAGTGTGGCATGTTTTAAGACTTAACTGACACCTAATATCCTCCAGCTTAAATTTTGAGCCTTCAAGTTCTGTAAAGTGAACTAGTGGCACACTTCATTTTAGTAGTCTAGTTTTGAAATTCTATTGTTAATTTGCGTGAGATGCCCATTTTGCTAGCTGGATCTAAGAAAAGAAGGATTATTTTTCTTAATTCTCTGTATTAAAGATGGAAGAGAGAAAGAGCCTAAAAGGTGGGGAACCCGTGGCCTTCTGATTCAAGATTGTTCTTTATTAAGCACCAGAGGAGGAGAGAAAAGCTTCATCTTTCTCTCCTGAACCCCTTTTAATAAAAGGATTTGTTCTGTAAAACTTGGATTCAGTCAAAAGGCCACACTTAAGGACCTAGGAGGCCACATGTGGCCTTAAGGCTATAGGTTTCCCACCCCACATCGTTTTACCAAAGTCACTGGGCCTCGGTTTCCACATCTATAAAGTGATTGATATCAAGGTAAAAACTAACATCCATGTTTTACATAAATCTAATGCCAGGGATGCAGAAAGGTTAATTGCTTTTCCTATATAAAATTAATATTGACTACCACAAGG